ACTTATCTTACGATAATAGTAGAATTGAAGGTTGCACTCACCAGTGACACACTTACATTTCACAATAGGTTTAGCTTAGGGAAGAAAAAAAGAGATGGAAACCTTTGAATTGCTTGCTCAGGGAGGTATTTCATACACAAATGTCAACCTTCACTTATGTTGCTGCTGAAAGAAAGGTTTAGAACCATCGTTCAGGCCAAGCAAGAGCTACCCAGCCTATGCCATGGACCACTGGCATCATTCTCATTTGAGATGATTAAAGAAACAATTTATCAGTCCTCAAAAGAGACCAACTGAGAATATCATGTCCGCATCTTATACAGCAATTAACTGCTAGGAAGAATGTATGCAATGTGTTAATTATTGAAACTGTCCTACCAATTTGATTTGAAACTGTCTCATTGCTATTTGTTTTGCAATAAAATTATGAAAAAAAATTAAAAATAAAAAAGAGACCAACTGATCAGAATCTCTAGGGATGTGTGATAGTCAGCTTTCATTGCTGAGACAAGATTGCAGGATACAAAACTTAAAGGGAGAACGCTTTACTGTGGCCCATGACCTCACAGGCTCCAGTTCATTGGCGAGCTCCAAGACAGAAACATGGAGGGAAGACATGGCGAAGGAAAGCAGCTGCGCTTCTAGTTGCTAGGAAGGGAGACAGCACGGAGGCACATGAAAGGAAAGGGTGCAGAGCCCAGATGTAGTCCCCAAGGTCATGTCCCAGGCACTCTCACCCACAAGAAGTGTGTTGAACTAATCTCCTAGGCATCACTGAAGCCAATCATGTTGACAAGATTAACATGGGGCTGGAGCCCAGGTATCTGTTGTCATATTGCTCTGCAGGTGATTTTAGTACTTGCAAAAATTTGAGAAGCACTGCTCTAGACCAACATCTCGGAACATATTGGAAACCACCTTCAACCCCTTTTCATGGGACTTTGGCAGGCAATAGTAGAAATGCTCCACAGCTCTTTTAAATGTGTAAAACCTACAGAGATGGAAAAACCAAGTACATTAAATAATGAATTATTGGATAAAGGCACCTGTCTCAGAACTAGGAAAGTATAAGTACATCTCCTAGTCTTTTTTCCTGTTTCTAAGTAAGTAATTATACAATCTTACAGTCTTGCTTAGTTTTTCTTAGTTTTCTTTCCCATTTGGTTTAAGGGAAATTGTTGAATCAGCCCACCCCTGGAAGTGGGCCCAGAATTCTGGGCTTTAACAAGCTCTCCATGTAGAAGTACCTGCAAGCTTGAGAACAAGTGACTACTGTTCCCATCAAGTTTCCTACCTGCATGGCAACAGAGAGCATGAGGGATTCCTTATGTTAACTTTGTGTATGGGGGTCCTGTAGCTGGCTCCTGGCAGCTGCCCATCTAGGCCACCCCTGGTCTCACCTTCAGGGGGAAGTGCAGGTCAAGGAGTGGGAACTTGGCATTCATACCATAAATGTAGGGGGCCAGAAAGCAGAACACTTACTGATGTGGTCATGGAAACCTAAGGTGCTCCAGCAAGTCTCTACAGCCTTTGTGGGCTTATACAGCCTCTCTCCAGAGGCAAGTCTATCTTCTTTTTTCAAGGTGGAATGAGTTTAACATCTTGCACAGACCACAGGATTCAGGATCATTAAGATGGCTGATTGCTTTCTTCTCAGATCAGTCTGAGGAAGTATTTTCTAATGGTATTTAGACTTCCGATGTGAGGAAAACTGTAAAAATGAATGAGAGGAATGATGTCAGAAGGCTGAAGACAGAAGCTAGGGGTTGGGAGTTACTGACAATAGAACACAATGGGGCCGGACCATGTTGGAGGACTGAAAATAGGAAGGGGCAGCGCTCTGTGGATGACCTCTCTGGTTATGCGTAGTAAACAGTGTGCTCAGGACATGAGACAGGATTTTGCTCATTTTACTCCTGGCAGTTTAAGTTTCGCCTCTGCCAGTCATGTGAGTTCCCTGACCTGCAAGATCTTTGCAACTGCTTTGAGCAGACGGAGTGAACAGTTCTGTTTTTTTGCTTAGAAGCTTTGCCAGGACTTTCCTAGTGAAATGTGATGTCACACATCTTGTCTTCTTCAGCAAAAGAACACATAATTCCCGCAGAGAGATGAAATCCTTCTGTAGGACATTCTTTACTGACATATCTGTCCTCAAGAAAGCTTCAGCATCTGAATGTCTTTGAGGCAGCTTCAGAATAACATGTACATTTGTCCCTCATTTTCCATAGGGACTACCCAAGATGCCTAGTAGGGACCTGAAACAACAGGTAACATGAAGCCCTAAATACACTGCTGTTTTTTCTATACATACTTGTCTATGATAAAGTTTAGTTTCTAAACTGCAGTCTCAGTAAGAGGCCAACAATAATAAAATAGAATGATTAGAGCATTACACTGTAATAAAAGTTATACAAAACTTATGTATTATTTCTTTATTCTTTTTCCTTTCTTTCTTTCTTTCTTTCTTTCTTTCTTTCTTTCTTTCTTTCTTTCTTTTTTTTTTGTATTTTAGAGAAGGTTCTACAGGATGTTCAGGGTCTCACTACTAGATGAGACTTGTAGTGATCTGCCTGTTTACAGCTTCCCAAGAGCTGGAATTACAGGTGCGCACCACCACTCCCAGTCTCAATTGCTGGCTCAGCATGCCCTGGGGGTGGGACCAGGCCTGCACGGTAGGCCTGGGGATCAAACCCCAGACCCCCTGTGCTTGCTTGCAGGTGCTTTAATTGGCTGAGCTATTTGGCCAGCCCTCTATTTCTGAAAGTTTTCATTTGATATTTTTCAATAGAGATTGACAGCAGATACTGGAGGACTACTGTAATCTCCATTTCTTTCTTCCTTGATTATTCCCATTTACAATAATTTTTCTTAGATTTTGGTTCAAGATAGTAAGGCGAATATTTTTATTCTCCTCCTTCCCAAATTCCTATCAAAATGATAAAAAAAATCATAAAATTAGAGGAAAGCAAGCATGACATGAGGAAAGCAAGGAAAGTAACAGATACAGGAAAGGAATTTTGAGGCATTTTTTGTAGGTAAAGTTGCAAATGAATGCAGAAATCATGACCTGCACATGAATTGGTATATACAAAGTAGAAACAAGTAGGATGGGTAGGATTTCTAGTGAAAGTCCGCCTTACCCCAAACACTCCAAACTTCTGGTTACCAGCTAGAGTAAGAAACTTAATGGGTTTCTGAGCCTGTTACACTGGAGTTCGAATCTACTACCTGAGAGTTGTATGAGCTAGTTAGCCTCAGTATCGTCCTGTTCATGAGGATAATATCTACTTTATAAGATGTAATGAGGATTAAATGAAATAGTGTGGATCGTAAAGCACAGCTACAAGTTTAGTGGTGACCGTTTACTGATTACTACACGCCATGCATGGTGCTAAAAGATTTACATAAATTATCTCTAACATACAAGAAAGTTCCACCAAGTTATGATAACCACTATCTTATAGTAGAGACAACTCTAAGAAGTGTTAAGAAACATGCTCAAGGTTTATAGCTATGAAAGGGGTGAAGTAGTGTAATAGTTTGGATTTAAAATATGCCAAAGATACTGGGATTTTTAATATTTAAAATATGCAGGTATGAACACTTGGATAATAGCTGATGAACATTTGATCATGAGAACTCTAATCTCACCAGCAAATTAATCCATGGGTGGATTTGTAATTTGAAGATATTATTGGGAGGTGATGGAAACTTGGTGGGGCTTGTTGAAAGAGGTGGGTCACAGGGACACAACTTTAGGGACCATATCTGGCTGCTGGTCCTTTCCTCTCTGGATCTGGCTTTTTCTCACTCTGCTTCCTGGTGGCCATGTGATAGCCTCTTCAGTGGCTTTCTCCAGCTGCCATGCTGCTTTGCTTGACCTCAGGCCCATGGCAATGAAGCTGACTAACTGAAAGGATTGAAACCTCTTTGTTATGGTTTGTGTCTAGGTGTCCCCCCAAAGCCTCATGCAGTCATGGGTCAGCTTCTGGAGTTTGTGATTGATTACTGTGGATGTGGATGCTGCCCCTGCCCTGGGGCAGGTAATTCGCATTACAGTGTAAGGAGGGAAGAGAAGCTAGCTGCTAGAGCTGCTGCTACCCCTCCTTTTGCGCTCTTACTCTTTGCTGCCTCCATGAAAGGTTGCTTTCTGCTGTGTGCTGCTCTGCCTTAGACCTAGCTGAATATGGCCTAAAACCTCCAGTGACTGTGAGCTAAAGAAACCTTTCCTTCCTCTTTATCCCTTTAAGTTGATTTTTAAAAGCTATTTTGTTGCCTCACAAGTACAGAGTCCTGAGATACTCTGCTTTCCAGCCCTAGGCTATATTGTTTCAAGCCCTTGAAATACATTGTAGTCAGCCCCTAAATAACCATGAGTTCCACATTCTCATATTCAACTCATCAATGATCCATAATATTTAAAAAAATTTGTTCTTGTCAGTATTCCCTAAATAATATAACAATGATTTATATAGCATTTACATTATTTTAGGCAGTATAATTTGGAGATAAATTAAAATATATAGTAGGATTGAATAGATTAAATGTAAATAGTATACTGTTTTGTAAAAAGAGACTTGAGTATTTGCAGATTTTGGTAACTGTGGGAAGTCCTGGAACCAATCCTCTATGAATAGCAAGGATGACTGTACACCAGTCCTTATAATAACCTTTCAGTAACTATTTTAATTATGAAAATATAGTAGAAGTGTAGGAGTTAGTTTGAGGTTATACAAATATTTGAAAATGAGGCTGACTCACATCAAATCAAATATTTGATTCCAAGTTTCCTGCTCTTTTGTTTCACTGAGTATACACACTGTGTAGACTATTGCTCTGTCTTCTGATTTTGCATTAGATTATGTAATCACTGAACACAAGGAAGCAGTGCTGAGGAAAATTTCAAAATGTGACTCCAATACCCCCCCACCCCAGTCTTTGAGGAAGTGAATTATTGCCTATGCGAATATAACTGAATTGTCCACACTTCTTGCTGGCAGGAATCACAGAAAACATTGGACTGCCCCTAAACCTGCTTGAGAAACACAACCCTTGGCCAGCTTATGTGACGTATACCTCCCCAGTGGTGCAAAGACTTATCGAGAAAAGCAAAATGAAGGAACTGCAAAGCACGCGTGCTTTTGAGCAAATCCAACAGGCACTGAGGCTGAACAAGTCTTCCAGCACTACTCAGCTACAATGGAGAATGTCATCCAAGTCCTCTGGTGAAGAATTGAAGGACGTCCTGTCAGATACTATGTTGTCTGTGTGGGGCCCTAATTCTGTATCAGTCTTGAGTCCCATGATTGCCCCAGAACCCATGCACATACAAACAGCTTCCAGAGAAAGTCCCACCGAAAACTATAACAAGATCGTTTTCTCACGAAAACCCATGATGAGGGTGCTTCCTACAGCCCAGCTTACTACAGCCCAGCAAGGAGAAGAAGCATGCAAATGTCAAACAATGAATCCCTGCAACCAACCCTGAAGAATGTACTGCAATCAACCTCCACTTGCCACAAGTTGCACTATGTCCTTTAAATCTAAAATTGCTCCTTTATTTGTACAGGCTGGTGGAGAGAAACCACATCAGACTGCAGGCCACGGGTGGGTGGGTTCCAACCTTCCAGCACTGTGGTCTGCTGGGGTCAGCAGTGAAAGGTGTTCATTTTTCCCCCACAAATGCTTAAGCCCTACCTATGGGAGTATTAGTCCAGGTTCAGGCAGAAGGCAGAAATCATACTGACTATTTTACTAGAGATAATTCAATAGGAAGAATTATTAACCAGGTAATTAAGAAAGGCAGAAAGAGAACTCAAAGGAATAAATGGGGACAGCCCCTGCAGAAAGCAGGTCTCATTCCTATGGTGGAGGCAGTGAAGGAAGGTTTGCTGCTTGGAGAAGGAGCTTGTGAGCTGAGGCGCAGACTTTCTGAGGCAGGGGAGTGGGAATGCTGCTCTGCTGTGCAGTGAGTGCCTCTGAAGGACGGTATCCCAACTCTAAGAAGCGGAGTTCTTGTGCTTGGTGTCTCTGAGAAGGCACATGTGATGCTGGCTCTGTGAGTATTGAAAACACCAAGACCTGGATTCAAATGCTTCCTTAAGGAGTTGTCACTGCCTTGGTGAGTAAAAATGGTTATTAGAGAAGGCTAACGGGGACAGGAAGTTGACACAGTTGAGAAGCAAATAACCTGAAGAGGAGGCCCCTTCTCCTCCCTATAGCTATGTAGGCTTCTGCTAGCACTCTCTAGGGACAGAGTGTATCAGGGCAAAAAGCATGAATGTGGTGTGCAGAATCTTAATCCTAGCATTAACAAACAGTATAAAAAGATGGATTTGGAAACCAAGAGAGAGAGATAGTTTAGTAATCGGTGTAGCATGGTTCTGGTGCTCAATATGGCCTCTGAACCTAGTATTGAGGTGTTTTTGCCTCAGAGGTCTTACAAAATGGAGGTGGGCATATCAGAGGGGCCACTGCTGAGAAATGGAAGCAATCCAACCTTTCTCTCCATCATCCCCATTCTCCTTTCAGGTTTGCTTTGTGGAGAAGAGTTGGTTGGGAGAGAGAGGTTCCTAAGCTTCTGGCTGGACCCCAGCTGTTATTTGTCAGATAACTGCTATAATTGGCCCACCCATGCTCTGAATTGGCCCCAAAGCAAGCGGCTATTCTCTATTTCCCGGCAGACAGGCTGTCCTCAGACACATGAGGATCCTGTCAGAATGGAAACCCAGCTGGCCTGGTGGGTGGCGTTTAACTGTGGAGCATGGCTGACCTTCCCAGACTCTCTGTGTTTGTACTGCCAGGCAGTTAATACCCATTCAGCTTCCTCCATAGGGGTGCACATGATCTGATGTGCTAATAGGTGTAAGTGCTACTTGGAGTTGTATTTCCCCTACAATACATGCTTTCTATCCAACATTGATCTTACATAAGTGTTCAGAGTCAGTTATGGGCACAACTTTGTAGAACTTATCTCTGGTCTTTGTGTATTTGTGTTGGGACAGCTGCACAAATTAGGAGGTCTGGATTTGTTTCTGTGTTCCTAACCCTAGGCCAGCATAAGCTCTTAAAAAAAAATAGGTGTTTCCCAGTGAATGTCCTGAGTGTATTTTGTGCTATGAAATATCTGTAGGTCTGGAAATAGGTGATAAATTCCTCCAGGATTTAAAAAATCTCTTTTATCTCTTTATAGTTACTTATATCCAACATATATTTGGGGAGGTATGAGTTATATAATTTTAGTAATTAACAGAGAAATAGAGCAGTAGAATAATAATAGAGTTTTGGAATTATTAGGATTATTTCTTCCATTGCCCTCGAGGGCAGAGCAGTGTGATACTTCCCTAAAGTTTGCTTTGCCTTTTTTTCTTTAAAATTTCTAGGCATTTAATAGATCTTTACAAAAGTATGTACTGTAAATTAAAATAATTGCTTAATACATAGCATTATTTAGGTTAATCTAATTCTTAGCCTATTGTAACAACACAGGCATAAACTAAGGGCATCATTCACACACTATGTTTTGCTGGAAATTGCATTCTGTGGCTCTAGTCTAGACAGATTGCCTCTTGGAAAAATTTAAGAGAGAAAAAGTATAATTCCTTTCAAAATGGGAAACTCAGCTGGGGTTCATGGATGTGGCCAGCTAGTGGTCTTGCCAGCCATGACCATTGGAGGGGGCTGCCGGAAAGAATTTTCCTGGGAGATAAACAATTGGATATGACCAGCTGGACCAACTAATGAAAGCTTGGTCACTGGGGGAGGAGGATGATCCTGAGTGACCTGTGTTATCTGATGCTGAGATTTATCTCCTCAGCCAAACATTTCTGAGTGCTATAGGGAGGGATCAGTGAATCAGTCTATCACAGGGCTCTTTCAGTAAAATCCTGGAAGATCCAGAAGTACTAAATCAGAGTGAGGGAGAGCTTGTTGGCTTCACAACCCACCCTCTCATATGTCCCACTGCCCTAGTTATGGACAAGAAATAGCCAGATCTGGTAGAGCCCAGTGAGTATTTGGCAGGAACAGCTTTCTTCCTGAGAGTCAGAGAGGCATCTCTGGGGCTCCCCGAAATAGGCATGGAGCCCTTCCCAGAGCCTCTGCCCTGACGCTGGCAGGCAGGGCATGGATGGAGTGGAATGTAGATTATTTTAATGTAACCTCATCTGCCTATCCAAGCTAGAGAGGCCTGGAGTATCTCAGGTTACTCTGAACATATTTAACTTCCATCTGGAAAAGAGAATTGGCTTTCTCTGATATTCCACAGTCCACACCCTCTTCTTAGTTATGTCTTTTGCATATGGCATTTTCTTCTTGGCAAGAGAGCTACTCCAATTAGTCTTCCTGCTCTTGTACGTTTATGAAATACCAGAATATGTATTTTGTTAGCCTGTCTGTGTTGCTCTGTAACTAAGGCTCTGTTCTAACACATATCGAGCAGCTGTTTTGAGCAGATTCTTTGGCTCCCTGCACACAATATGGTATTTACCCATTTGCAAATTCCATGGTTGATGTTCGAACAGTTGATGTTTAACTTCAGCAACTTGACTGAGTCTGCTGGTCATTCTCACTTTGGCAGGGACTGTTAGGACTGTTAGGAGACTGTTAGATTCACATTTTGCAAACTCCCTGGTGTGGCCTGAGAGCACATCTTGATGGTATTAAGCTGCTCGATAGATAACAGGCTACTGGAGTCTTTATGGAGGAAGCAGCATAAACAAAGGTGCTGGTGCAGGTGTGGGAAAACCAGATGTTTGAGGGTGGCCTGGGAGCCCTGAACTGGAAATAGGAGGCTGGAGTAGGACTTATACAGAAGTTACAGACTGTACTAGCAGTAAGTTTAGAGTCTTACTGGGATGAGATCAAATCCTGTTCTTCATTTTGTTAGCCCAAAATCCTTATGGGGGAGGAATAATTGCCACACAAATTCACAGTTATAGGGAAAATAGAATGACTGTTTGTGGCCAGGGTTGTGATCCTTGGGCCTTGCTGGTGGTCCTCTGGGGTAGCTGAGAAGTAACATGAAGCAGGTACACTGCACAATATAGAGTCCAGCTCTCTGAGCTGGGATCCCAGCTTGAGCCTGGTAATGCACCCAGGGAGACAGAGCTAGGAGTAGGGGTTGCAGCACCACAGTCCTGCTCATGTGTCAACAGTGGCTGTAAAAAGATTGTAAAAGTGCTTTGTAAGCTATGTCAGTGAAAACATGCCCATCTGTACCATGTGCTCTTTCCAGCCTTGAGTCATTTCATCACGGGAACCACATTTCCAGACCAAAGGGCTAGAGCCTGGACGTTGTCAACGCCAGATAAGGAAAGATGTCTGAGCAACCTGGAGAGGAGCTCGAAAAGAAGTAAATAGCAACCTGAGATTTACTGTGATCTGATATTGCTAGAGCCTGGCCCAAAGCTCAGGGCTACGTCTCTGTTGGCCAAATAATTGGGAAAACTCTCCTCTTTCTCCTTCTCTCTTTCTTCTCCTTTATATCTCGTACCAGGGATCCAAGGCCTCAACCAGCCACTTAGGTGCTTGGAAACCATGGGAGGATGTCTTAAACCTGCAGGGCATGGCTGCACTAGGTATAAGCACGCATGTGGGATTTCTTGGAATGTGTCTTTCAGAGTCAACAGGGAATGCAAGAGTACACCCCCGCCTGTTTCCCCTATTATTCCACCTGGCCATACCTGATTTCTCTATTGGGCAAGGCAAAATATAAAGATGAAGAGCTGTCTCCCTGTTGACTCACAGTGTTGGGCAACAGCATGAAACAGACTTTGAACTTTGTACTCAGATCTTATCTCTTCTCTCACTTGCTATATTCTTGGGACAATAAAAATTCCTACCTTTCCCCATGCTTTCTAGGAAGGGGGGAGCAAGGGTTGAAGTATCCATTCATTTCCTCTCTAGATTGAATTTTCGGTTACCTAGAATATTCTATTAATTTTGGTAGACAAAATGTGAAAAGGCATATTTCAGGCAAGTTAGAAGCCTGACTTCTGGGATCATTTTGTACATAAGCCATGCAAGAAGATGTTTGTGGAGAGCAAAGTTAGGACAAGAGCAAGTTACAGCTGAAGGGAAGTTGGCCCGAGTGCACCCAGTTCTCCTCCCACACTTCTGGAGAATGTCCATATGCATTTTACTGCCAAGAGACTTAGGGTCAGGCTTACCTAGCTGAATAGATAATTCCAGAATTAGGGGAGCCGCTTTAAGACTGGAATTCAGGTCCCTCAACTCCAACTGTGGGCTGTCTCTCTTATATTCAGGCCTCTTCCTCTTCTAGACTTTCTCTGACAAGCCTGCTGGTGTCTAAGCGGGACACATGCGCTCTGTGTGTGGCTGCCGCCGCCAGGGTCAACAGCAAGTTAGCTTTAGCAGAGACTCCTCTTCATGTAGCCACTTTGCTCTGTGCCCCTGGACCTGCAGATGAGGGATAGTGAGACTAAAAGTGCTGTGATTCTGGACAGCAAGGCTAGCCACATTCACTGG